TGTCTAGTCTGAACAAACCCAGTTGTTGTTGTTGTTTTTTTCTAGTGGGTTTATAGAGGTAGTAAATTGCAAGGGAGGAGATTGCCCATATTTTCTCCCGTGGAGCAACTGGTGGATTCAAACCATGTGCTTTTGGCTTGGCAGTGCAACTCCTTACCATTAAGCCACTAGAGCTCTGGGGCACTGGAAATTTGCAGCAATGGACAAGATTGCTTATGTCATTATCTTTTTATTTTATTATTTTTTGTGCATGTACTGTCAAATTGGATCTGACTGGTATAGAAGGAGACTGTCTCTCCTCCAGCAGAGCATCTGGTAGATTCAAAGCCCGCACCTCTGGGATTGTAGTGCAGCTTCTTGCCACTAGGCCACCAGAGCTCTTATGTTATTATCTCAAAAGCCATATAGAATTTGTAGTCTTCTAAGGAAAACTGATTTTGTTTAATGACTTAAATTCTGCTTAAAAGTTGTGTCAACATGGGAAACATGTAGGCTGGCCTAGTCGCTTTGGAACATCACAAAAGGCTAAAGAAATGTACTTACTGAGTAATCAGCAAGAACATTTTGTGTGGTAAAAGCATTATTCACCCCACAGATCTTGCCACAGGAAGGTCCGGAGCACCATCTCTTATGTATATGTCTGCTAGTAAGTTAAAACAGCCTTCTGTTTTAACATTTAAATAAGTCATTTAAATAAGGTTTATGATGAGTTTTCCCTAATGTGAGAAGTGCTTATGCTACACTGTTAAGTGAAAATCAGGGTTCCAGATTGTACACACAATATGATCTTCAGTAATACAAAAACAAGCAAAATATGTGCACAGAAAGAAGGGGAGGAGAGTCAGAAGAAATGCACCAACATGCTGATGGTGGTTCCTTGTCTTTGAGTGGGCAGACACTTGAGCTGACTCTTTCTCCTACTTTCTGCTTTTTTATTATTTTATAAAGAAACTAAACATGTACGGTCTTCCTTCTATAATAGAAAAAAACCCCCTCACCTCTCTTGCTTTTGAAAGTGGGGAAAACAATAAATGTAAGTTAAAAGCAGACAGCAGATAGGAGCAAAGAGGCACAGAGGAGCCAAATCAAGAAAGAACACTCTTCAGGGGAGCAATCTTGCAATTTGGACTTGAAAATTGTGAGGGAACAGATGGTAGCGCCCAAGCAGACATCTGCAATGGATAGAGAAATCATATGCAAAGATGTAAGTGGCCTTTGAAGCCAGCCCTTGGGAGGACCAGCAGAGAATGCTTCTTGCCTGGCCAAATAAAAGGGCAAAGCCCCTGGCCTACCTGTCATGTCTGGCTCAGCACACATGCACTTGCACGTGAGGTAGTGAAAGGTGTGGGAGAAGAGAGAGTCTTCTGGTAACAACAGCTGATATTAAGTGGACCTTCCCAGTTTCTAAACATTCTCACATATGCAAACCCCAGAGTGTATGGAGTCCCCTGGAGTCAGGCATCACATATGCAAACTAAACATAATGTATGGAGTCCCCAGGAGTCAGGGGTCAGCTCGATGTCAGCTGCAGAAAACAGCAATAACCTAGACATTACTTATTGTTATAGCCTTGCTTATAATGTCCCTGTGTGGTGTGTAATTATTCTGATGTACTACCGAGGATTGAGTGGAGAAAAGTGATCTTTATTTATTTAATACACAAATAGTGATCTTCTGCGTGCCAAGGACTTTCTTTTAAAGGACCTTTTGTATGGATGATTTACCCGCTGTTAGTAAGGGACAAAACTGAGACTCAAATCTGCCTTTTCAGACTCCACTCCACACTACCTCAGCTCATTTGTAAGCAGAATTGTCCTCATTCTCCAGAATCTCAGGTAAGGTTGCAAGTGGTTCTGTCTATGAGAATTTGCGTCCCATCCAGCAGTTCCTCAGAAGAAAGGCCTGGACACCTCCTTCCAACAAATTAGTCCCTGAAAAACCCTCTGGAGCACCATGCTACTCTAACACAGGTGGAGTCTCCATGAGTTCGAACTTCTGGAGCACCACGCTACTCTAACACGCCTGGGGTCACCGTGAGTCAGAACTGACTCAGTGGCAACTTCTTTGAAATCTTCTTGCAATGATAGTAATTGTGAGGACGGCAGAGAACTGGACAGTGTTTTATTCTATGAATTCTAGCTTTACTGTGAGTTGGAACTGGCTTGATGGCACATAACAGCCACAACAACAATATCTATCTACCCAATTTGTGGAGCTCTCTTTTTTCCTGATTAGAAATGTATCATATAAAAAAAAATAAAAAAAAAAGAAATGTATCATATACTCATTTGTAAATGCAAATATGACCTGAGTGAGGTATAAACCCACTGCACTGATTCCTATGCACAGGGTTTCTAAGGTTGTAAATCTTTACAGAAGCAAAGTTTGCCTCATCTTTCTCCAACTGAGCAGCTACCACTAACCTTTTGGTTAGCATCCAAATGGGTAGGTGAAAACACACACTACACAAAAACACCAACCAAGACAAAATCCAAAAATTGTCATGGAGTCAGAACGAACTCATAGATGACCTGTCGCTGGCTTTCTGAGACTGCAAATGGCACAGGAGGAGATTAGGAGATTGCCCGTCTTTCGCCTGAGTTGCTGCTGGTGGATTAAAAACATCAGAAGGGTGTGTGGTCAGTACACTAGGCTAGTGACGGATGGATTCGAATTGCCATAGAGGTGCCACCTTTGGATTAGCTGCCAAGTTTCCTAAGGACTACACCATGAGAATTCCCTTTTAAATAATTTAGAAAGTAAAAATTCCCCCTAAATCTCACAACGTTTATAACACTTATTAACTGTTTGGTGTGTGTCCCTATAGGATCTTAACTGTGTGTATGCTAACACGCACATTCGCGTTTTCTATCTTTACTAGAAGGGTACTTTACCTTCACTTCTGTAACACTGTTTTCACGTAGTTTGTCTTGGAACTCTTTCCCTGACTATAGATTTACCTTACTTGTTTTTATGATTCCTTGAATACAGGTAACTATGTAACTTGCCACACATTAATAGACATAAAGGCTTTTCTACTTCTTTACTATTATGAGCAATATTTCTGTCCTTGCATCTTAGTGTACATATGCATTTCTGTAGAATAAACTAGTAGAAATGGCATTTCTGGGTTAAAAGCATGCATGCAATTATATACGATTAAAATTTTCAAAGATATTGACAGACTGATTCAGTGCCCCCTAAGGAGTGTACTGATATTGACTTTTCCACTGGAATGTACGAGAGACACTCGTTCTCCCTTTGGCTTACCAATGCCACCAAGTTTCTCAATCTTCTGAACACTTATCAATCTAACAGGCAAAAAAAGGACATCTAATTTTTATTTTCATTTACACTTTAAAACGGTGAGGAGACATGTCTTTGTATTTCTTGCCTTCATAGGTATGATTTTAAAACTTGTTTGTGCCCTTTGACAATTGATTTTTTTCCCTACTGGTATATCACAGAGAGGAGAGGCTCTTGCAAATCACCTGCCATCATGATATATTTTCTTTTAAAGGGCAATCAAACCCCGGAGATTTATGCCCACCATAAAACAGTTCTTTTTTTTTTAATAAAACAGTTCTTAAATGCGGAACACACACACACACACACACACACACATTTTAGAGCTAACCAGAAAAACCAACCATAGTCATAGTGATTGCTATCTTGTGGGTTTAATTCTTGATTAATTAGCCACATGAAAGATGCTAAGATAATGTAATCAGATAAGCCAGGGACAGAAATAAGCCTTTGCTCTTCTACCATGGACAGTTCAGAAATAGCTCACTGACAGGTGGATGGTGTTAATTCCCACACATGGGTGTGTCTTTGTGTATGTGTGTACAGGCAGGTGAGTATGCCTGTATGTGAGCTAGAGTGTGTGTATACATGTACCTGCTCAGTTTTAGAGTGTTCAGAAGAATAATGTAGGAGAGAATAATGTAGGGCCAGAGAGTGTATGGGAGCTATAATTTGGAGCATCTTTCAGAAGCAAGGAAATTACTATTTCCTGCCAGTCCCTTCAGTATGCTGCCGTGTTTGTCATTGCATTAGAATTGTGATCCGAGTGTTCAAACATAATTCTGGGAAAAGCTGCAATTCTATTCTGCCACAAAGTCCCCTCTCTTTGGTTTGGCTTGTTAATAGTTTTAGTTTACTTGGTTCCACAGTCAACACTCTTGGTAACAGCAACCAGGAAATCAGGAGACGAACTGCATTGGGAAAGTCAGCTGTTAGGGACCTCTCAAGAGTACTGAAGAGCAAAGACATCAGGCTGGAGACTAAGGTGTGCCTGATCCAGGCTATTTGTTGTTGTTGTTATGTGCCGTCGAGTCGCTTGTGACTCATAGCGACCCTATGTACAACAGCCCTAAACTCCGCTCTGTCCTGTGCCAATCGCACTGTTTCTGACACTCCCATCCCAATTATCCCAGTCACTGAATCAATCCACCTCATAGAGGGCCTTCCTCTCCTGCGCTGTCCGTCCACCCTCCCTTGGAGTCAAGGATTCTGAAGCTTCGTCTGACATAGTTTGGGCATGTTGCAAGGAGGGACTGGTCCTTGGAGAGGGACATCATGTTTGGGAAAGTGGAGGGACAGTGCAGGAGAGGAAGACCCTCGATGAGATGGATCGATTCTGTGAGTGGAGTGGTGGGAATGAGTATGTTTGAGACTGCGGGGTTCACACAGGATAGAAAGGTGTTTAGGGCTCTTGTACATAGGGTTGCTATGAGTCGCAAGTGACTCGATGGCACATAACAATAACAACAACAACATACTGGTACTGGGACTACGTTGGCTATAAACCCTTAAATTTATGCCTAGTAGCCTGTGGTGTGAGATTTGTAGATTTGTAGTGGTGATAGCTGCATCATTTGTCAATAGAGACAAAGGGAATGCTCAGCTTAAATTTTCTTAAATGTTGAGAATTTACCTACCCAATTTCATTTGCTTTTTCTTTTCTCCTCCCCTGTATTTGGACAGATGCACTTTCACTGAAAGGAAAAAAGCTGGATTTTTATGGACGAAGTGACACCTATGTAAGCCTGAACAGCACCATTCCTGAGCTCAGCCGACTCACAGTATGCATTGACTTGGTGCTCATGAACTACATCTCACGGGATTGGATAGCCTTTTCCTATATTACTAATAACACCTTCCTGGGCAGAGAAGACATAGATCTTGGACTTGCAGGGAACCGCCACCACCTAATACTTTACAATCTGGGCAAGACATTTTATATCCATTACCACCTGACTCCATTTCAGTGGCATACAATATGCTTAATTTGGGATGGTGTGAAGGGCAGGTTAGAGCTGTTTCTGAATAAAGAAAGGCTACTAGTGATGATGGATCAACCACAAAACCTAACACCGAATGGGACTTTAGTTATAGGGCACTTTCCCAAGAATGGGAGAGGCCGGCTTAACTTGATGCCCCGCTTCACTGGCAGTTTGTACTACTTTCAAATGTGGGACCACATCCTGGAAAACAAGGACTTTTTGAAATGTTTAGACGGAAATGTAGTTAGTTGGGAAGAAGATGATTGGCTTGTCAACAAGATCATCCCAACTGTTGACAGGAGACTGCGCTGCTGTGAGTAACTCAAGACTTTTCTTGCTTAGTAAGGGAAGCCTCTGCTTGCTACTCCAGATGACTCTAAGATAACTTAAGGGGGATTCAAGGTTGCGAGGGCTTTGTAATCTACCTTTAATGTGGAATAATATTACTTTCTTTATTTTTATATAATCTCAAATTCTAAAAAAAAAATGCCAAGAATAAGACATATACTATCTAGAACTATATACTGTGTCACTCACTCATTCATTGCCCTCAAGTCAGAACTACTGATTCATAACTGATCTTCTGGTGGGATTTTAGAAGCTGCAAATTATTTGAGAGGAGATTGTTCATCTTTCTCTTGAGGAGCTGCTGGTGGATTTGAACTGAGTGCCTTTGGATAACACAACTCCCTACCAAGTAGGCCACCAAAGCTCTCTGTATGTCTTTCTCATTGCCATTGAGTGTGAATTAACTCATAGTTGACCCTCCAGCAGGTTTCCAGAGGCTATAAACGGCATGAAAGGAGATTGTCCATCTTTGCTTTGTGGAACAGCTGGTGGATTTGACCTGAGGACCTTTGGGTGGGCAGCACAACTCCTTACCCACTGGATATTTTACGAGGTCACCAGAACGCCCAAATGCTCTACCCTAATTGTTGTCATTTCCCCATATACTTTATCATCATCTCTATCTCTCCTTCCTTTATCTTACACACACACACACACACACACACACACACACACACACACAGTTTCTGAATCACTTGAGAATAAGTTGCAGATATGATTCTGTTACCCTTAAATATCTCTGATTCCCAAGAATAACATTCTATTATATGACCGAAGTACAATGGTCAAAATCAGGAAGTTTAACGCTGATAGACAATCTAATCCATAGTCCATATTTAGATTTAGCCAACTGGCTTAATAATTTTCTTTTCTCCCATTCTTCCCGAGATCCACTTTAGGAATACACATTGCACTTCATTATCATGTCTCTTTAGACAAGGCATTTTATGATTCAATCCTGTTATTTTATAGAATGCTCCTCAGCTGGAGTTTGTCTACTTTTTTCTCATGATTAGATTCAGGTTATGCATTTTTGACAAGAATACCACATGAATGATGTTGAGTTCACCTCAGGAGTTAAGTGATGCCAATTTGTCTCATTAGTGTTAATGATACCTTTGATCACTTGATTCAGGTGATGTCTGCCAGATTTCTTCACTGAAAAGTTAACTATTTCTTTAAGAACGAGTTATTTGGTAGATATAGAGGCATTGTACGTAGGGTTTTCGAAGGCCTGCTAGTTCAGAACTGGATGGCCAATCCTTCTTCCGAGTCTGTCTGAATTTTTGTTATAATAGTATCTAACAGATAAGCATTTTACAGAAAGAAGCAGATGAAAGACGTTTATCCAATTAGAGAAATGACCAATAGATTCAGTGTTGCTACCCACCACATGCAAGCAGGATTTTGCTGAAAATTATCCAAAAACGACTGGAGCAACACGTCAACAAAGAAATGCCAGATGTGCATGCTGGGTTTAGAAGAGGTCGTGGTACTAGGGATATTAAAGCTAATGTTAAAGAGATCTTGGCAGAAAGCAGAGAGTACCAGAGGAATGTCAATCTATGTTTCATTGATTATGCAAAGGCGTTTGACTGTGTGGATCACAACAAACTGTGGTTGACTCTGAGAAGAATGGGAATTCCAGAACATTTGATTGTGCTTATGCTAAACCTATACTTGAACCAAAAGGCAGTCATCAGAACAAAGGAGACACTGCATGGTTCAAAATCAGTAAGGGTGTCCACCAGGGATGCATTCCGTCTCCATACCTTTTCAATCTATATGCGGAACCAATTATCCAAGAGGCTGGGCTGTACAAGGAGAAATGTGGCATCAGGACTCGAGGAAGATTAATCTGCGTTATGAAGATGACACAACCCTGCTTGCTGAAACTGAGGAGGACCTGAAGCGCTTGCTGCAGAAGGTCAAGGACTCCAATATGGACTGAAGTTCAACATCAAGAAAACAAAGATTCTCACCACTGGGCCAACTGGCAGCATCAGCATGGATGGTAAAGAGAATGAGATTGTTAACAGCTTTAGTTTGCATGGTTCCACAATCAACACTCTCGGTAACAACAGCCAGGAAAGCAAGAGATGAATTACATTGGGAAAATCAGCTGTCAAGCACCTCTTCAGAGTACTGAAGAACAACAACATCAGGCTGGAGACTAAGGTGTGCCTGATACATGTCATGGTCTTCGCAATTACGTGCTATATGAGAGCTGGACAGTGACTAGGGATGATAGAAAGAGAATTGATGCCTTAGAGCTGTGGTGCCGGAGAAGAGTGCTGAATATACCGTGGACTGCCAGGAGAACAAACAGGTTTGTCCTTGAGAGGGTGAAACCTGGCTGCTCCTTGGTGGCAAGGATTCTGAAGCTTCATCTGACATGCTTTGGACATGTTGCAAGGAGGGACCAGTCCTTGGAGAGGGACATCATGTTTGGGAGGGGGGAGGGACGGTGCAATAGAGAAAGATGCTCGATGAGATAGATCGATTCAGTGATTGGGGTAATGGGAGTAGCTGTGTTGGAGACAGTGAGGTTGGCACAGGATATAGCAGGGTTTAGGGCTCTTGTACATAGGGTTGCTATGAGTCGCAAGCAACTCGAAGGCACATACAACAACAACAACAAAAAAGTGGCATTGTGCTACACAGGAAGTCTTATAGGGAGTTGTGTTACTACTGATCCAAAACACTGTGCCTCTCCAGGGGTTTAAATCCTCCAGTGGCTCCACCAGAAAAAGATGGGCACTCTCCTGATTTACAGACGTGGAGACCTGCTGAAGGGCTGACAGTGAGTCCAAGCTGACTCCATGCCAGTGAGTTTTGCATCTACTGCTGATTCCTGCCTGAATCACTTATTTCTATCCCATCTCACTTCATTGCTGTCAAATCGGCATAGACTCATAGCTGACCCTCACACGGGAGACTGCCCGTCTTTCTCCCTTGGAGCTGCTGATGTATTTAAACTGCCACAGAGCTGCCACATTTATGTTAGCAGCGACTGTCTACCCTCTCAGTCACCAGTGCGCGCATCTTATTTCTATGATGGTTGCACAATGAGGATTTGAAAAACTCCATCATTCTTTCTGCCTTTCTTGGTTGGCATTCTACTGAAATAAAGGGCTCGCTTTTCCTTTACATTTATTTACTTATGCTTTCATTCCTGTATTTATTTATGTCAGCATGAGTACATAGGTTCTTATTTTATTCAGTGGGTTATAACTTTTCTCTATTATTTTCTGATGTTCAAAAAGACCCAGATAAGACCAGAGGGAACCCTTCAAGCTGGCCTGCATAGTCTGTTGATATGTACCCGTAATGATTAAACTATGTGTACATTTGCCTAGGCCGTGATTTTCTGTGTTTTATTGGATAATATGCCATCACCCTCTATGTAATCTGATATGAACAGCCGGTCAGTTGAAAGAGTATTTTCCTTGAAGTGTAGTCTTCATCCAGTTTCTCTTTTCTTAATCCTGAATCCAAATTCTAGTTCTTGGGGCATAAGTCAGAAGCCTTCTATGTGACCTGTTTGTTCTTATAGTAGTCCATGGAGTACTCATTATTTTTCACTAGCAACATAACTTAAAGGCATACATTCTTTCTTCTTTGAGATTGTTGCTGTGTACTATTGAGTCTGAACCAAACCATAGCTGACCCTCTGGTGAATTTTCAGAGGGAATTAATCACATCCTTCTCCTGTGGAGCAACTGGTGGCCTTGTACTGCATGCCTTTGGGGTTGCAGAGCACCTTCTTGCCACTAGGCCACCAGAGCTACCTTCTTTGAGATTAGACTAATGCAAAATAACAGGGAAGCTATTCCTTTGTGTAACTACCTGAAGACATTTGGATTTTCTCTTTTTTAAAGCCCTAAAAAGAAAAGAGACAAAACAACTATGAGATATCATCTCACCCAGTAAGAACAGCAAAATTTAACAGAACAGCAAACATCAAATGCTGGTGAGGTTGTGGAGAAACTAGAACCCTTATTCACTGCTGGTGGGAGTGTAAAATGGTGCAACCACTATGGAAGGCAGTATGGGGCTTTCTCAAAAAGTTGCAAATAGAAATATCATTTGAGCCAGCAATTCCACTACTGGGAATTTACCCTAAAGAAGCCATAACTACCACCCAAGCAGATATATGCACACCCATGTTTACTATGTTGAATATACATTGAATATTCCATTGTTGAATATACCAGAGATTCTCTGTCCATTTGTTTGTTGATAGGCACTTGGGTTGTTTCCAGCTCTTTGCTATTGTGAACAAAGCCGCAGTAAACATGGGTTGCACCATTTTACACTCCCACCAGCAGTGAATAAGGGTTCCAGTTTCTCCACAACCTCACCAGCATTTGATGTTTGCTGTTCTGTTAAATTTTGCTGTTCTTACTGGGGTGAGATGATATCTCATGGTTGTTTTTTTAGCCCATTTTTATAGTCACTGTGTCAATCTATCTTGTTAAAAATATTTCCATCCCCCACTGGACATTCTAAAATAGTAATAATAGAATAATAAGATTGTTGTCTTTTGCTAAGTTCTTACCATATTCCAAGGATAGAGGCTCAGAATTCAAACCAAAATCGAGTTTATTAGTGTCACAGTGATTTTCTAAGGACAGAGTAGAACTGCCCCACAGACTTCCAAAGGCTGTAAATCTTTATAGAGGAAGCACACTGCTTCATTTTTTCCCCTGCAGAGTGGCTGATGGGTTTGAACCTTTGACGTTTGGTTAGCAGAGGTTAACTAAATTGCCAGCTGACTCATCAAACAAATAGTCAATGTGCGATCTGAATAAAGATTTGCTGACTATAAAGCCCTTGTTCTTTCCACTCCCCCACCATGCAAAGCTGTCTCAAGGGGGTCTGTGGCCCTAAGAAATTATGGAGAACTGTTCTAGAAGCTTCTTTTAAAGAGAATTGCTTTTGCTGAAAATTGCCCAGGAAATG